GGTATATTTCGGGGTTTCTAAAGATTATTAATTAATGTCTAAATCTAGAAACTGACGTTAGACTGGTCATAATATAATAGTGGAGGTGGAACTGCGACTATAAATCAGACAGTTAAGTAAAGCAGTTGGCGCCTATTGAATATTCTCGCAAATCATGCGCGCTTGTTGACAATGAAAACAATACCCGAAATGTGGACTGCTGTCGCCACAACTTAATTTATCGCACCGAAACTGTCCAACTTTGACACGGTGTGTACACTATGTTACATCTTATAGGTACGAAAATATAAAATGTAAAGATATCAAATTTGTATCACGATCAAAATTTGATTCACTGCCTTCATCAATTCGGCAGTTTTTTTTTGTCGGAATGAAGTTGTAATTTATGGATTTTATGTACATTGTCAAAATATATAAAACCCGAAATAGTTTCTTTTACTAGGATATTTATTCGGCGGAATCTGCTATGGCGATATCAGATCAAAGGCATCGTTCGTGTATATGTTATATAATATTATGTATAAAATTCTCGTGTCACAATTTTCGTTCCCATACTCCTCCGAAACATCTTGACCGATTCTGATGAAATTTTGTGAGCATATTGAGTAGGTCTGAGAATCGGCCAACATCTATTTTAATCCCGCGCGGACGGAGGCGCGGGCGACAACTAGTTGTGGTTTAAATTTTCCCATTTCACAAGAAGTATACATTTTACAAAAAACATTTTTTGATATTAAGTTAATGTGTTTCCCCCCAATAAGCCACAGGTGATTTCTTGTATATAAGGAAACTTGTTTCTCCTCCAAAATCTTTGGTAAAATATAATAATTTATAATTCTCGAGAAAGCTTTATAGTGAAGAGAAGGTTGATAGCGAGACTGAACAACTTCATTGCTAATGGCTGCAATTATGTCACTACGAGCGTGACAAAAGACTACAGATACCAAATGGACTTTTACTTTTACACTGCAACATTGCATTTTAGAATAAGAAATTAACTAAATCATAAATATAACACCATAATTTAACATGCTGTTATATTTATTTATTGATTCATTTCTAAAAAAACTTCAAATCTTATCATCGAATGAAATATTTAAAGATTATGTATATATAAAAACTCAAATATATATATTATGTCATAAGAAAGCTTGCTGCTTTATGAAGTCGGGTAAAATATAGACTTGGAAGTCCGCAACTGTCGATGTTAGGGAGTTGTATTTCTGACTACCTTTGTAATTATCACTTTATCAAGCCATATATTATACGTGTTTTAAATGAAATTATCTTTGACATATTGTTACAAATAAATGCAAAGGAAAGAAGCTGTTGGAACGTTTATATTCTACTATAAATGTAACATACTAAAGTAGTGCATTGAATATTATAATTTACGCGGGTTATGGCAGAATATCAGACAAGACTGCGACGGCAGAGAAGAAGGTGGAAAACTCTTAGTATATATAATTAATATTCTACTGCTTAAGTGATTGTTAAATCTGTGAAAGTTTTAATATACAATAAACATTTAAAATTAAAATTACTTTGTTTAGTATATTTTCACGTAAGCAAAAGAGCCTCGGAAACGCTCTGTAAACCAATTTGTCGATTCAAAGGTACTCTATCTAGCGTATGGTACTGTTTAAACTCATCACCTTGCCAGTGCCGCCTCTTTCATGTTACAGAAACTCATTCATTCATTCGGTTTAAATTGATGCCATTTTGTTAGAAGAAATAGACGTCTGACGAAAGGAGAGACGAAATTTTATTTGCGGTTGAACATTTCTCACGGGGAAAACCCCTTCATGCATCTGTACGTCTTTCTTTTTTTTTAAAGTGTTACTGTTAATTTTTCTAGAAGAATGTAATGTTTCTATTTACAAGTTATTTTTAAAAATAATTGTGGAGAGAAAAAACATATTAGGGAAATGTTTTGCTGTCTCTGTGGGTATTGTAGTAATTGTAATCTTTGATACAAGCCGGTGGGAATTCTATCCTAGAAGCTGGCTGCAAATGACGTCCCCTTTTTGATTACCTACAGTTTTATTTTTTTACATTTTTATTTTAATAATATCATTATTTACGGAATGGAAAAGTCCTCACTTAATTAATCTTGTCTCATTAGACACTACCCCATTGGGTAGGATCCGGGGAGTGCAGAGGATGTGTTAATATTTTTATTTAATGAGATGAAAATAAATATATGATAAAGAAACTAAAGTTACTTAAGCCTTATACATAATAAGTAATTAATACAAGTAATTTTTAAACTTATTCTAAACTGTGTAAGAATATAAAAGAACGAAAGTAAATGTAAGTCACGCCTCCGGACATAAATTCCGGCATTATTCTTTATGTTACGGTAATCCGGGCAGCCTTCCGGAAGATTTTACCTGCTTTAGATCTGAGCGCAAAAAATGAATAGAAGTTCTTTGAACGTGGACGAATATATTGAGATTGAATATTTCGTTAATACATGCTTCTTTGTATTAATATTTTACAATATATCAAGACGATTTACGTATGGCAATACGATATACAGTAAAGAGATGAATATGATTTGTTTAATTTAAAAGTTGCAGAGTTAGTCAATCAAATTTGTAATCGAATCTTTCACATAAACATCGATTGATTTGGTCAGGATGTCGATCCTTTGCTTTAAATAGTCTAATTGTACGCTATTTAAATCACAAACTTATTTTTGGAAGTAAATTATCTTTTTTAATGGTACATCTACGATAGGGGCGTATGAATAGAGCCGCGATCATATTTTGACAAACAAAGTAGCAGAATATAATATAGTAATCAAATTGAAAATCTAGCTTCGTCGGAATTTCACTACAATTCATTGAAATAATCAAAATTAAATACAAGAATATTATAATTTTTTAATCGTAATTTATTTTTAATTTATCCTAATTGTGATTACCATAGGTTTTTTACCATCAATGTTGCGAAGGCGAATAAAAACTATCTAATACACATCGAGCAGTACTGCCTATATAATAAACAATGAAGGTCTATTGTTCAATAGTTCTTAATGATTGTAAGATTTGTTTCTTTGTTCTAGTCAATACAGCACATAGTTTACAGTTTATGTTATTCTATACAATGAACGGAATAATTAATCTATTATATGCATGTTTATATAATATGCTACTATTTATACAACAATGCGTATATATTTTATAAAGACTTTTAAAATATTAGTATATTTTTATTAATTTTTAAATATTAGAAGATCGATGAAAAACCCTAAAAGGGCGATATTAAGAGAATCCGAAAGCGATGTGCATGTGCGTTGCGTTGTATGAAAGTAGAAGCAACGCGAGAGATGTGACAGGACCGCAGAAAATCAGGTCCGTGGTCTCTTAATACCCCATTGGGTTACGGCCTTGAGTTATGTTGTTCTTGTATTGTAATATTACTAAATGTATTAGCTCTAGACTATGATGATATGGATTGATAATACTCCAATCGTATTCTTATTATAATGGAATTTTTGTACGCGTTCGATACTTAATAAGCTGTAATTAGTTAATAGTAATTACACAATTTTAATGATAATTTTAACTATGTAATAGGTACTAAATACTACTCATAATAATGCTGATTCTAGTACTTAATTACTGTCAGTAATTTAAATGCATTTAGATGCGTCATGTATTGAAATAAGGAAATTCATCGATGACCGCCTTTGTTGGACACACATCTAGGTCACTGACAGCAAATCCACTTGAATAATAAACAACTAACTTGGCATTTCAAGAACTAAGTCATCACTGTATCACGTGAATAATTTCAAGATTTGTTATAATTGTAACAAATAAATAATATTTGCGTACAATCTGTGATGCAAATGTTTCTGTGTTCCGAATTATTTTATTGAACTAAAGTTCTGTACAAAAAACTATGAAACTAATAATATTTTTAATTAATATACATCATCATTCATCATTTCATCATCAGCACATCTTCCAACAAAGGGGTTCGGAGTCTACCTTGAGCAAGGGGTTCCTAATCTAGGATTAGCATACGTAAATATAGGATTAGAAACTATTAATTATTCAATTTGGGCTTCTAAGTCTGAATAACTTCATTTAATCTTTAAAGTACGCCACAATTATCTTAAAGTGCTTCATATTTTTATAAAAAACAGAGTGAAAAATATAACAAGAATTTTGTTATCTGGCACGGAATTCTTCATAGTCTATTCCAGCTAGCAGCTTTGAACATAATTTATTTTCAGTAAACGAGCAAAGTATGCCGCTGAAGGCAAAGGCGTTTGTACACATTAACGCTACGCCCCTGATGAAAAATCGCTTACGAAAGATGTAAGCGAACTCAGTTTTAGCTTCGCAGTATATTATGGACGAAATCATTTCAGACATTCATCCTTACAAATTCATATTCATCAGTCGCATATTAGTAGAATACGAATTCTTGACAACTTTCAAGTAATAGTCGCACTTAGAATGCTTTAAAAGTTTATTAAACAGTAGTCCCTTATTGTACATTTATTATATCAAATAAATTAAATCGTGACATAATTCTATCAAATGTTTGTAGATAATATATAGCGCCGAGAGGAAAACAATCACATGTTTGATACAAAATAACAATTATTAAAGTTTTAAAAATATTTAGGACAGACTAAATCTAACTTTGTAGTGTAAACTACATAGTTAATTCAATATTATTATTTCCATGAAAATCAATAGAAATGTCCATAACAATAACTTATCTAGCAACGTAATTTATAAAATAAGTGAATTGTGTCAATTATTGTTATAACTTGATATTATTATACATCACATAATCTAATAATAAATTAAATGCATATAAAAGACGGAATACATGATAATCGAACAGAACCGAACTCATTTTATGAACACTAGTATCCACAAAAAAACCCCCGAGCCAACCGAACGTACTAAGCATATCACCACTAGATTGTTTAATAAGTTTTTTCCTCTTATTCACTCACGTTAAAAGGTAAACAAGTTCCACTAAGGTCAACATTAACTGTCGTCTGTGACCAGTCCGCTGCTATCCGTTCGTGAAGTCATACATCGAGCGCAAGAGGCTATCAAATTAAAATGAAGACTACAGCTATTTTATTTATCGTATTTCTCGCGTGTATCAGCGTGACCTATGGGAAAGATTTGATTACGGGAACTAGTTTTAATGGCAGATTAATTTGGCAAGAAAAAGTCGAATACAATGCTATTCCGTTAAAGAAGAGAGTCAAGGAAGTTTTCTTCTCGGATCCAGGACAACAACTTATTAAGGTATGTCAAATAAGCATTTTAAACAATTAAGAATATCGTATTTTATCCAATCAATACTTGTTTTCGGGCCAAACATCAATGTCAAAGTTATGCAACATATAATATTTGTCTGCAATCATAAATACCTAAAAGCAAATATATATGTAAATATATTATATTTCACAATATCAAATATTATTTTATTTCACTTTTAGAATATTGACTGAGGGTAATGTATTTTATTTATGTAGGTTATGTAGCTTAAACTTTAATTTTGTAATTATTTACGTCGTCTATAACAATGTACGTTTTTCACAAAACATATTATATTCATAATTTATCACTATGTTTACAAAACAACTGTTAAAAAGTAATTAATATTTAATTTAATATTCTATATCGTCTATAACCTTCTCAACATTTCTATGCTATAGGTTTCCATGAACAGTTTGATCTATATAAATAGTAATTGCTGTTTTCCTTGAATCTACGATGATATCTCTGAATGTCGTCTTTCGTATTTTGTAGCTTTAAAATTTATATGGCTTTAATATTTTATTCCCAGTAAGTTGTTGTACCTTGTAACCTTTTTTGTTAGGTTACTTTTTTTTACTTTCAATAATTGACAAAACCTGTTTTAGTCTTTGATCACAATTCAATGTGTATTCCGTACAACTAATCCACATAATATAATATTGTTTTTAATCTCAATTGCAGGGCATTATAGCCAGGGATCTGGACCACACTGAGGGCTATGCTACTATAACAGCCGGAGGTGTAGGATTCTCATACGCGAATATTAGATTAAAGAGCGAAAGAGGATCTGGCCTTAACTACCAAGTAGAAGTTTATGTGTAATTTATAAATAATATCCAAATATAATTGTTAAATTAAAATACATGTTTCAATAAATTCGATTTACTTTAATAAACTAAAATGTTTCATTTTTATTCACATGATTTTTTTCGTACTGCTTGCGTAAGCTATAAAAGCCATTTTATAGAAAATAAAAGAAAAAAATATTTGAATTTTGTTGTGTATTTTCAAATCAGTTGCATAATTAAAATTTTACGGCAAAATAGAAGATAGCAGGAGCAGACATGAAGGTAATTTCGATATTTGCCACGACATTTTTTTTTTTTGGAAATATAAAATATTAGCAGATTTTTTTGTAAATTTACTAATATTTCTTTTATGTGATCGGAAATTCGTACCCTTAACCATTAGGCTATTAACGCTTTATTATATAATATTTGTAATATTATTTTTTTACGTATATGAGCTTGTTTAGTATATTCTAGATGTCAATGCTCAAGTGGAGCGATCTTAACAATGTAAGCGACAACAGGAAACAACGAGCAGGTCATTGTTGAGATCATATACCTACAGATGAGTCACAGCCGCGCTGCGTTTGCCATTTTAATTATATACAACCAAGGCGAGAAGAAACAATAGCAGTTACTATTAAGTGCGATGTATTGTACTTGAATATATAACTATTGGTATTATGATTTGAATATATCCCTGTGCTTTAAAATAATTATGTGTATCTATCAATATATTTCAATTTTGAATGCTAGGAGATAAAACTTAAGTATTTCTTATTTTCTTAATGTCTGTAAATTATTTTTTATGCTGATTTCTTTCGTTCCAGATCGTTCTCAATATATATCTTAAACTTTACTATCGGTGCTCTTTACGATAACCTTAAAATAGTCCATTGACCTAAGCCACGTATAAACAAATTTATTCTACTCAGGATAAAATTTAAATACGTAAAAACGAAATATTTGATTGTACAAATCCAAATTAAATATAAGCCAATTACTTTAAATCCAATTTTATCAAAAACATAGCTTTTTTTATTCAAATCGATTACTCTTAAAGGTTTTTAAAACTTTTTGGTTCCCTCGTCAAAAATACAACATCAAAATTGTAAAAAAACAAGACAACCAGATTTGAATTTTAAATTGTAAACTAAACAAAAGCTTTCTAAATAAAAAAAAAGCGTCAATGTATCCACATACGCAACAGGTTGTCTTCAAATGTTTTGATAGAGATTTGTTTTAAAACTGTAACATAATTTGTTTTTTTTTTGTAATTTCACACAGCACCTTAAATTATATACTGATAATGCAATATTCGTTTAGATTATAGTAAAAACCCAAAGTTTTGTACAAAATTATGTATCTCCTTATAACCTTTTTATTTCAGACCTCATTCTAATTCGGCGTAAGGAATTTGATAACCATTTTGAGCAGAGATTAACTTTCTCTTTGATTGTCACATACAAAATATTATGAGTACTACGAATTACCAACTATGACGATATACGTTATCTACGCAAATTGGGAGAAATACATAAATTTAATCTGTAAAGTTGTGATCTGTTACTTAAGATAGATATTATAGGTTTATGCGTGTAATACCTCACAGCTATTGACAAGCCTAATCCGATCGCATTGCTTGTGCTATTATTCCGAGCTGGTCGGCTGAATAGCTTTGATCGACTAAGCCGCGTAATGTACAGCATCCGCTTAACATACATTAGGCGGAAGGAAGTGGTGTCAAGGTACGCTGTATAATCTTCGATTATGGGCTATTCAGCTTTATTCGCCTAGTTTTTTTTTGTTGCTTATGTGTATTATAAATTTAAAACTATTACATTTTTTTACATGTAAATAATTTAGTATGGTAATTCTTAACAAAATGTGAAATATCATGTGTGATTTTAACAATGTAAGGTGCACTTGTAACGAGTGGTTTACCAAAAATTAATTGATACAATTAAATGTTTGCAAATTAAATGTATTTAGCCGTACGTTAACAAAAATGAACTCACACTAGCGTACCTATTTTTGGATTCGTTTCATGTTTTCTGATTAACACGTGGACGGTGTTTCGCGCAGCTCGTATTGTAATGAAAAATCACCAGACTGAAAAATTTCCAACGTAGGAACGTACACAAACGCTAGACTTTTATTTCATGCAAAACTTGCCACGAAGTAAATAAGTAAAAAAAAATTTTTTTCTCATAAGCAGCTATTTGATTTGTAACGAATTAATAGGAAATTATTTCTATATGACAATAAAAATAACTAGTGCTCGTCCATTTTTCGATTATATTTCATAAATAACTATATATTTTTTAATTTAATTATTTTTTATTTTTCTATGTGGTCTTCTCCACATTGCCTGTATCATATTTCTTGTTCTTTCATTCGCACTATTTCCTTTAAAGAGGTAAAAAGTTTTTTTGTTTTGTATAATAATACAATTAATTTAGCTATACGTTTATTGTGTAGTGTATTACTGAATCGGGAAGGATAATTTACTAAAGTAACACTATTTGGGGAAAATCCAATATGGCTCGTTTAGGGAGCTTCGGTTTCATTGACTTTGCATTTGAGTTGGATTAAATCGGGTTGGTATCCCGGCGGAGCACTAGTTATTCCGGTCTACCTGAGCTTTAGGGTCAGGCGACTACGGTAGCGGTTATTACAATATTACTTATTTACACAGTTAAGCAATTAATTTGTATATCCAGTTGTATATTGCAACGATATTTACACTGTATGTATTTAAGTATGATATAAATTATGTATCACATAAACTATTATGTACTACTAGTCCTTCATTACCTGTATCCTTTTTTTCAGTAGAGACATAACAACAACAATAGTGTTCACAACAAGAAATATGTGTGTTGTTCAAATGTTAGCTCCGTAAATAAATATTGTATATTGGAAGCAAGTGGTCATCCATCAAATGATGCCAACAGGAACACTAATCAATTATGAATATACAAAATGTATTGATATTTTGGTAAATGTAAATTACGATAATGTAATTTAAAATTTTAACAGATAAATTATAACAACCAAATTTTTAAGCTAGTCAAATGATCAAAATTTCATTTTGCCAGATAGCTGAATATATAAAACGGTCCGTTGAAGGTTTGTCAAAAATATTAATCAAATGGTAACTCTATCAATTTATTATGTCGTATAGTGTTGTTAATAAATAAAATAAAAAAAACCTTGATCGTTGTTAAAAATATACGTTGTCGTAGTGCAATAGCATTTAGGCCTATTCAATAGTTCCTTCAATTTTATTATTCTTTTAGAAAAATCGTTAAAGTGGCTTTTTATTACATTGTATAGGAACAAAGCTTCTGTAATAAAATTGATATGATATAAAAGCAAACGTGTAAGGCATCTTAATATTTGACAATCCTCGTACGAGCCTTTACCAACATAACGGGATGAAACAGTAATATCATACAATCTAAACGTAAAATTACTATTTTTATAAAATAATTATTTTAAATCAATGTTAATATATCTAGTATTAAACACCGTGTTACTTAATTGTATTAAATTAATCTTAATGATAACGTAATGAGCCACGAAGCTAACGTGTTAATTAAATAACATTGTTAATGATAATATTGTAACATTAATATTAGTGTAGCAATTTAACATTGTAATTTGTTATACTTTAATTAATGTATTACAAAATCTGTACAACAAATAACTGGAAAACATCGTACATTCCATAACAATACCTATGGGTATAGTTAGCATGTTATGAGATTAAAATTAACACTAGGTTTACGGGACGCGTCAATTTGACGCATTTCGAATTTTATAAGTAAAACTAGCTGTCGCCCGCGACTCCGTCTGCTCGGGATTAAAAAATAGATAGTAACCGATTCTCAGACCTACTCAATATGCTCACAAAATTTAATGAGAATTGGTCAAACCGTTTCGGAGGAGTATGGGAACGAAAATTGTGACACGAGAATTTTATATATAAGATTACAAAACCCGTTTGCATTTATTTATTAGGTGTATTATTTTTCCAGGTACTTGTAAGCATGGAAATCTGTGCCGTTAATGGACCTCAACTCTATTCAGATTTAATTAAAACGGACGCAATCAGAGTCGAGCACGTGTTATGCGCAGCTCTGTTGTTTGTCGAGTGTTTATGAAAATCTCAATTATCACATTGAGCATGTGATATCTATTGGCGGAATGTCTCTGACATTTGGAAATTCATTAGGCTCCATTTGTATAACATGAATTATGTCTCTTTGCTATAGTTTGATAAGTCTAATAATCGCTTAATCGCATTATATAATAGATAACTGACTCGCCCAATCGCCTTTTCAGGTATTATACCAATATAATAGTCTAAAGGAAAAATATTTTTTCTAATCTTTCGCTATAGGTACCCATAATACAGAGATGCAAATCACGTCATTTGAATCGAACAAAGTACATTTACAAACATAGCGTTGCTTACAAGTTGCATATTTAATAGTAAAAGCAATGTTCTAGTTCTGAATTCTAGTATTTCTTAGCTTGGTTAGGTTTCCTATACTATATTCTTTTGTTGTATGTCGCACAAGTAAATATGACACGTGCAGTGCAGCTCAGAACAATCAGAAGAGACCTACATACTACATATATCATGAAGATTGTACGTAGCCAGCCGTCCAGTGCTTTGTTCTCGAAGCTTAACCCAGTTTAATTATGTTAACCTGCTTCGCTATATTTTTTCTTACATTTTAATAACCAGCAAGCGGTGCGTAAGGAAGACTCGCGAAAATATCTGTATAACTCTAAAACTACAAAACTACAGATACTACACGTGTTTTAACCCTTTGAATACCGGTGGTTGATAATATGGACGGAAACTTGGATAAAAAGTATATGTTTTACCCATATAAACATGTATCACGAAAAATACTTTGATATTTATTTTTCAAGATCGTATTTGGGAAGCCTACGCAAAATCATATTTTAATAATCATGATTTCTGGTAATGTGGAATATAAACGTGCGATAAAAGGGTTGACTTTTTTGAAGAAAAAAAACATAGACTAGATAAGTCTATGTTTTTTTTTATTTAGTTACTTAAGA